CTGATTGGTTAGGTTTGCAAGCGAATTGACCATTTTGAGATTGCTTTTTTAATTTTCTTTCTTTCTTTCTTTTGTTTTCATTTTTTCTGGTGGGGGGGAGGGAAATGTAGGAATAGAAGCTTCTATTCGTTGAACCTTACATAAGAGTCGTGGGTATAGTTGTTCGAAGTGACTCTTACAAGCCACTCTATTTCTTCTGATAATTTCAGTTGTCCTTCTCTAGTGTTATCTCATTTTCTTTGATTCTTGATGGTTTTTGTGCTTAGCTAGAGCTAATCATAATACTATTCATCTTCAATTCAAGTTAGTAGGAGAAAGAATATGCAAATGAGAATCTCCACTGCTTTAAATTCAATAAAATGTATGTTGTATAAAGAGTGCAAATTAGAATCTTATGTTTCTTCTTTGTTATATTTTGGTTTCATTACTCTGTTTTTGTCTTTGTTGAGTGCTAGTGGCACCTATTAAATCTTCAGCTCCATGTAATGAATGTATTAGTGCTGTATTAATGAACTTAAGAGATTTTCATTTTTTGCCTTTCGTTTAGAACATTCTCCATCCTCACTAGCCTTAGTTGTATATGATGGCTTGTATAAAACTTCGAAATATCACTGCTAGAATTCCTAGGGATCAACAAGTGGTGGATTGAAGCTGCAAGAACACATTAAAACAATTGGAAAAAGATAATTCTTCCAACCTTGAATTGACTAGTCTTTGGAGTTTGGAGACACTGGAGTAAAGACATACCTTAATATAATTGTAATAGGCGTCCTATTGGGATTTTGATCTTGTGAGTAACTGAGCCTAGCTGGTATAGATATCACAATTGTAGTAAAAATCGATATTTCATGAAGGTTCTTTTTCAATTGTCGACAAGCGGTCTGAACTTGCTCTTGTGATATATTTTCTCTCCCTTTTCTTAAGTAGTGCTCCTCTTCTAGATAATAATAATAATTTACATTCAAAGACCTCATATTAGCTAGGTGAGTTATGTTTAAGGGCCTCGTATTAATGAGTCGCCTAGGACCTCAAAATTTTCAAGGTCGGCCTTGTGAAAGAGTTACGTTTAATTTCAATTCCCTCCCCTCTTTCTGTCGAATCGTTTGAAGCTGAGCCATCGACTTTCATCCAAAAAAAGTGAAAATGTCCATCGTCGACGATTTGCGAGGTTAAAAACCTAAGTTTTGGTTTTTTTTTCTTCTGCATTTTTAATTTTCTAAACCATCAAGAGCTTTATGATTTACAGGATTGCTATAGAGAGGAAAAAAAAAAAAAAAGAAGGCCCAGAACCCACCCCAAGAGGCATCGAAAACCCACGTTGAGAATCGAAGGAAATCGTCGATTTAAAAGAAGAAATATGTAATTGTTTGATTCCAAAAACGTTCTCTGTACTTTCTTGAAACTTGGGATAGCATGCTGTGATTTACTTTTACATGCCATATTTTGGAAAGTGAATAAGCTTTTTGTTTGTGCTTGTTTGGGAGTTTGAATTAAGAAATGTTAGCTTTGGGTTGGAAAAGTCTGTTGGGGAAATTAAAGCAGGAGGTTCTGGTTCTCCCCCTTAAATTTAGCATATTTTCACTATATTATGCAATCTTCTTGTCACTAAAAAATTGGGCTTGACTAGAAATAATTTCAGAAATTAGAATCTTTATAAATAAAGAAAAAGAAGATGTTTTGGTGATTGAGGACTTGGGATATGATCTTTTAGAAGAGCTATTATCAAATAGTTGAATTTGTAAGTAATCATAAAATCTTTTACACTTGTGAAATAATGTCTATTTTCTTAATTTTTCATTTCCTACTTTGGTTCTTTCTTGAACACTGCATTCGAGAATTGTTTTGAAATCCATTCAAATTAAAGATTACTTCCCCTTAGTGTCTTTGCACTCCAAATTAATTAGTGATTTGAAGTGGAAATCTATATAAAAAAACATAGGTAATTTGATTCGGATGTTTTTCTCGATTTCTGATTTTAGTTCCGAATGCGACGACAGCATATGATGAACTTCGGTTTATTTTTAATTGTTGACTACAAAATTTGTTTTCTATTTTTTCTTGGCAATTTATCGCAAAATGAAGTGTGAAGCTTAACTGATCATCGCTCATTAGCATAATGATTTTGTCATACTTTGTATCTCCTTTGAATGATTTAAATGTTACTGCGGCATTTATTACTTTTTCTGTGGATGTAAAAATGTATTTTCATTTCTTGATCATTATAAATTGGACCGAAGATGATTCTTGAAATTCTATAGCTAATTACTGGCATTCTTTATGCAAGATGTATATTCTTTAGTTTTTAACTTGACATTTCTCTAGTTTAGCTAAGGAATGACGACGCGTTCCTCTTCATCATTCATTGGCAAACACATATAACAATCTGTTGATTGTGTTTATACTTAGTCTACTTCATTGAAGTAAACAGACATTATGTTGCGGCTTCAACCTTGTTGTTTCGAATTTGACTCTTTCTCATTATGGAGTTTGAGTAATCATTTTATTTTATGTAGTAAAAATGATTGAGAACAACTTTGCAAATTGTAAAGACAAGGATGATCGAAATATGTTCTATAAATAACATCATCATATTCAATATTTTTAGCATACAACTTTCTTCCACTCTGAAAATCATAACAGCCATGCATTGTTTGTGGTTAAAACTCATAACTTTTTGTAATTTCCAAGTCTTCTTAATTATAATTTCCAAGTCTTCTGGTTGCATTGATTTTTGTTGATTATCTTATGTGAAAATAACCTTGATTTCACTTACAATCCATATGTTGTATTTATCTGCTCAATTTGTGTTTCTGGACATGTGGTTTGTGCGGAATGAACTTATTTATTTCGAAATAAAGGAATTTTACGGATGTTTACAAAAATGATGTGAAGAAATTGAAAATTTTGAGATGAAAAATTGAAGTTCAATTTTCATTTCAATTTCACAAAAGTAAATTCTTAAACCGTGACTTGAAGTTATATGCGTGGTACTCGAATGCATTTGGTAGAAATCTTGATTGACACTCATATCTTCAGTTCAAATGTTTATGTTACTTGTGTAATGTGGAGAAAACCTTGCTTTCACTTGCAATCCATCCGTTGTGGGTGGTATTCGCTGCATTCGGTTGGAACTGTCGATAGACACTTGACAGCATCATTGTGGATTTCATGTGTCGTTGTTCTCGAATATCGAGTGAAAAGCTTTTGAATAACACCTGTAAGAAGAGAAAAACTAGATTTCCTGACAGTTTATCTATCGATAGTTGTTGCTCAACTGTCGTTCCCGACAGTTAGCCTCTGTAATTCTCGACAGATAAACCGTCGATGGATAAAATGTCGGGACCGACAGTTCAGTTCCTGCCTGCCTAGCCCTGCCCTACCAGTAGAAAATGTTATTTCTATGTAATATCCGTTCAGATATCAGTATTCATTTTATTTTTTGCATGCAACAATTTTTGAAGTTCAGTGGGCTGAATTAGGGCTATTTTATTGAAGTAATATGGTTGGTACTCATATGCATTTGGTGGAAATCATGTTTGATGTGGGCATATCTTCCGTTTCAATATTTATGTTACTTGTGTCATAACCTTGCTTTCACTTGCAGACATTGAGCTTGTGGGTGGCACTCGTTGCATTCGGGAGGAACTGTTAAAAGACACTTCACAACATACTTGTGGTTTTTGGTCCTATGCTGGTAGGAAGTTTATATTCTAGTCTGACGCATTTATTTTTTATTTTGTCTTTGTAGACATGGATTTCGAGTCCCTTGTTCCAGAGAATGCACGCTTGCGGGGCCACGTATCGCAGAGAAGCAATCTGCGGTATATAAAAACAGTCGTCGAACATCTTGACGAGCGACAGTGGGCAGACTTTCGCAACTCATGCCTCGGGTTCTTGTCCGAGGTTCCGGATCTCCAGTTCTCTGCCCAATTAATCCAGCAACTCGTATTCTGCTGCATACAAACAAATAAGCGGTACGAACTGTGGTTTAATTTGCAAGGCCACCTCGCCAGGTTTGGAATTCAAGAGTATGCCCTCGTCACCGGATTAAGGTGTGGTCTTCTCCCGGATGACAATGTCATGGACCGAGTTCTTAACAAGAGGAGACTAAAGGACAAATACTTTAAACATGTGGACAAGATTTCGTGCGCCCAACTCGAGCAGACATTTCTTCGATCGTCAACGCCTCGAACCGATCGGTACAAGTTCGGCCTCGCTTTGATCATCGAAGGAGTCTTCAATGCTCCGGATAACAACGTTGGTATCGATATAGAGACGTTGTCGATCGTCGACAATCTGACTCGTTCTTTTAGTATCCTTGGGGTAGAATCTCGTATGGACGTCTGATAAAGGGCTTTCGGGGCCGTTGGACAAGAAAATTTTTGGATGCGACGAAAAAGATGGAGAAGGCGGTTAGCTACACGGTCCATGGCTTTCCCATTGCCATACATGTATTTTTATTTTACCTACTCATTATTTCAATGTAAATGTATTTCGTGGTTGGTTTCGTTGTGAACTCACATTCCTTTTTTACTGTAACAGATATGGGCGTTTGAGGCAGTGCCTGAAATTGGTGATCGCTTCAGTCAGCGTCTTGGTGAACGTTCCCCACGGCTTCTCGGCTGGACATCAACAAAACAGTCGCAGCAGCATACGTACGACGCTTTCTTCAAGAATGTACAGGTAAAAATTTATGTTACTTCTACGTTCTCATTCCTTCCATTCATCATTGTAGCCTGTGATGATTTCGTAACAAATATGTTTATGTTGTAGCTACATGTGTACGCGACACTGCGTCCCATCGAAATCGAGCGTGGGCAACCTCGTATCGCAACTCTTGTGCTGTTCAATGATCATCCTGTCCCTGCGTTGGATGACCTTGCCAGGGACAGTGTTGTTCCGCAGTTCCAAGCAGAGCGTATAGGCACACCCAAAGAAGGCACCTTCGAAGATGAGACTTCTGATGAGGCCCATGACGGTGGGGGGACCAGTGGCGAAGAGGAGGAGTCAGGAGCCGATGAAAGCGGAGAGGCCGAAGGTGAGGACTCGGAGGAGCACGACAGTGGGGATAGTGACGGTGATCGAGTTCGACGAAGTGGACAGACGGGGACTTTTTCCACCCCCACGTGCATAGAGCTACTTCTCTCATGCAGGCACCGTCCACCTCTCATGTCTGACCAACTGCAACGGCTGGATCAAGCCTCACAACAAACGATGTTCAGGACATGTTGCTGGATCAAAGAATTCTGTTCGAAATGTGGCTCTGCACTGTAAAGCTCGAAATCATGCAGCACGTGTCCGATGAATTTAAAAAATTGAAGGACTTCATATCCACCATCGTCCCAGCATCCGGCTCTACAACCACTGCATGTGCAACTGATGTGGACCCCGAGCCCAGACTATCAGGTACTTCACCATATGCGTACTACAATTCTTTATGACAATGTTCACTTTAACCTTGGTCACTGACATGTTCTGTATAATAATTGTTCATTCATTTTAGACTACGAAGGCTTTGCAGGCCACCACCCGTCGCCTGACGGTATTGACGAAGACATGGGGATTGACAAGCAAGAGGGGGACGGTATGTGCATTAATGAAGAACACATGGAGCCATGCCTGGACGAGCAGGATATGCCACTGCCCTCTGGAACCGAAAGTCTGCAAGGTACTTTAGTTACTTTTGAGCAAATTGATTAATTATCATTTCATGTGTTTCGAAAGTTTTGAAAATTGTTAAAATTCACTTTCCATTCGCTGTTTTGTTGTTGTTCTGAACAGGCATAGCACACATTCAGCCGTGCCCGGAGGATCACCCCGTGCCAGAGCCCTCTACAATCGAAGAAGTGCAACGTATTGCATTATTTTTCACGATTTGAACAAATATTATTTCAGGCATTCGATTACTTTACAATTGTTCATTTGTTGTAGTCGAAGGGGGTCACCACCCATCGCCTGGCGACCGTGACAAAGAGCAGGACATGCTGCCTACTGGAACCAAACATCTGCAAGGTATGTGGGTCATTTATGAGGAAAACTTGTAGATTGTTGTTTCATGTACTTGGCATAATTTGAAAATTTCTAGAGGTAGTTATACACTGAAAATATTTCATTGTTGTTTTCGATAGACACAGTACACATTGAGCCATGCCCCGACAATAACCCCGTGCTAGTGCTCGCTGCAACGGATGAAGTGCAAGGTATTGCATTATTTTTTGACAATTGAATTTATTTTTCGTTTCATTTGCTTATGTTGCAACTTTCTCAGTTCTCGCCAATGTAGCCCGACCAAGACGGGAAGTTACGACAAAGAGACGACGATCGGCATGACTGCGATGTTCGGCACCTGCTACCAGGACTCCGTACACGAGGGGAAGCGCAAAACAAAAACAGAAGTAACTGTGGATAAATTGCCGAACATAGCATGATGATGGGGTTCAGCATGCTTTTGCATTTTTTTGATGTCATTTAGGTGGTGAAGGATGTTTGTTAATTGGGTTGATATTGGTGCCTTTTTCATTCATTTTTGTAATTTACATATCAGTCAGGCTAGTTGGGAAGCATGGTGACACTTAGACGCATTCCTCACATTTTGCAATTCCAGTGGTGAATGCCTTGTCACCATTTACCTTTGCTGAAATTATTGTAGTGTTACAACTTGTATAAGTTATCCGGCTTTAGTAAGTTATGTGAATCGTACTTACGATACTTCGTGCCTTGATTCAATTTTTGTCAACGCTCGTACATTGTACTGCGCAAAAAATTATGTATATGTACGTTTTACAAATATCCATTTACGAGTAGATAGCGGGATTGAATGTCGTAGTGCCTTAGTAAACTATAGATTGGATTAAGATGAAGACCCATTAAAAGTGCCAAAGTCATGACTTCCATGGTACAACTAATTGACAAATAAGTTTATGTATATTCCATTGTCCTTCGTATGTTATTATGTCGGTTAACATGATGAGTCTGTTTTGTGAGAAACTGTATCATTACAACCATGGTGCAACTAACAAGCTGGCAAATGAGAAGTAATTTGTTGCAAGAAACTAGATAACGTGAATTTTACACATCATTGAAGTATTCTAGTCTCTGCCAATGTTATAGTAATTATGGTACAATGGGGGATAAAGGTACACTTATTATATTCAACCATCACACCAATTGCTTTTCAAATTTACTTAGAGATTGGACTTGGTGGTTGGGTAGATAATGAAGTAATTACTTCCTCCTTTCAGGATGATTATAAATAGCAGGAGATCAGTAGCCAAGGTATTGTGCCACTTTGAACTTACCTAAAGAGCATTGTGACACTTTCAATGTAGTTGAACAGTATTGTGGTAAAAAAGAGCTACTTCTATTTATTCTTCTTCATTTATTTTGCAGTTTACAAAATTCGAAGTTATACGATCTTTACTGCAATGCACGTTTTCGTCAACTGTCGAGAATGAATAAAACATCTGTTGGGCCCAACAGTTCAACTAGGCGGGCCATTCAATTTGATAAGTTCCTTGCTTTTCAAAAATTGAAAATGGTGGGATTGTCCAATACAAGTGTCTTAGTGTAACATGCTATTGTAGATATTATACGTTTCTCATTTTTTGCAAGGAACAAGTATTTCCAATACATTTATACTTACATATTGAATGCATCACAACCATTGTCTATCAAATTACATTTCAGATGTCACGAAAGCTGTTGTGAGACTTCCATTTTGAAACAGGTAGTTGATACAAGATAATGGGTTCATCCACCTCCAGCAATGAAACATTCAACTCCAATATGCATCCGTCGATACTGGGTTCATCCGCTGAATTTCCCATCGTTTTATTGTCAGACGATGAGGATGTAAGAGTTGAACAGCATGGTGCCGAGTTCAATGAAGTGTCAAGTGCAGAATCTAAGTCACCGAACAGCGTTCTCGATCAAGTCTTCGAGGTCAGGGGTCCGGTCGAGTCACCGTCCGAATCGAATGAGTGGGTGGCTCATGTTCCACCTCCAGAAGTAATTATCGTTAGCTCAGACGAGTCTGATGGGGAAAGTGGGGGAGATTCTTAAATTGTCAAAAGCAGTGCAAGTGTGCAATAAATGGCCCTTTTGTAGGAAAATATGTTTAGTATTTTGTGGTATGGATGATTTTGGTCACGTTCTCTGGATACGTGCAGAAACTGCATTTCCATAATAGGCAACTGCAGTAGTGTAGGTTTTCAAGCCGCTGTTGTTCCCAACTGTCGAGAATTACAGAGTCTATCTGTCGGGAACGACATATGAACTATCGGGACGTAATGTTGGTGTTTTGTTTGTTCACTATAGTCTCATGAAAATCAATTTTCCATTTCGACAAACTGTCAGCCGAAGCTAATGAAACTTCTATGATCGGCTAAGTTTATAGTAAGAAAAAGGTATTCATCTCGTTTGTGATAATGGAACTGTAATGATCGGTACTTTGCTTGCGGAACATAACGACCAAATTTGTATTGGCATACGATAATAATAACAGATTCATAAAATAAGTTGGGAATGTACAATGCTTATTTAAATTAAGTTTTTCGGGGATTACATTTCACAACTACTTTTACACATCACGCTTGTTCAAGTGGCTTGTGATACAATAGGGTTCGAACATGTGGTCCGGTTATGACCAAGTCTCCCACATCGAGTGCATTTCCTCAGTTGGGTAGTGGACTCGTATCTAGCTCGCTTACATCGCTTCGGTGGTCTAGCTGGAGGACGACGTACAATCGGTGGCAAAATATGAGTGCCTAGGATTTCATTTAGAACAATCCAATCCACTTCCCGTGTAACGGGATATATGACTTCCATATAGGCACCCTTCCAGTATTCCGATGTATAGTACGGAGAGCATAGATCGTATAATGACTTACCACTTAGGGTAGCACCACGAGTTGCATGAGCACATGGCATACGATTTAGTTGAAACTCACGACATGTGCACGTGTTATCGGAGAAGTCCACTATCTCCGTATCGTTGGATATTCCAACCTGGGTCAAGCTGTTTGTCAACTCATGGGCTCGAAGCTTAGTACCAGCTTCAAATGTTGTTTGTAACTCATTCTTCATCCTCGACGACAATATAGTACTGCATGTGGTTGCATTGGTTCGACGTTCGTAAAACCACTTCTGCATTGTTTTATGAATGTGCTCGACCAAACACGTGATTGGCAACGAACGAGCATGTTTCAGCATTGAGTTCAATAATTCTGCGTTGTTGTTTGTCATAATGTTGTATCGGTCACCCACGAATAGTGCTCGTGACCAGAATGAAAAATCGGCTTTCTCCAAATACATGTAACATCTTTCACTGACCCTACGAATCTGTCCCATTAGTCGCTCGAACTCTTCGACCCGATAAGTTGTAGTAGCTCGTTTGAACAGGAATATTGAACTTGTGTAAAAGTGCCACTGAATTAGGTTCTTCTCCACATGCCACATACAACAACAATGACGAGACAAAGGAAATAAGTGAGTAATAGCTCTTTCGATACTTCTTTTCCTATCCGAAACAAATACAAGTTCATCTGAGTCGCCTATAAGATCTTTCAAGTTAGACATAAACCACATCCAAGATCGGTTAGTTTCGGAATCCACAATCCCCCACGCTAAGGGATAAATCTGTTTGTTGGCATCTTGGGCAGTTGCCAGTAAAAGTGTACCCTTGTATGGACCTTTCAAGTGACTATCGTCAACGCAAACAACGGGCCTCAAGTACTGCATGTAACCACGAATGCTTGCACCAAAAGCTACGAAAAAGTAATGGAATCTATCGCGCGAATCAAGTTCGATGTGGGTTACTGTCCTCGAGTTATTCCACCTAGTACGTGACAGTATAAAGATAGTTTCTAAAAACTGTCCTCCGGTGTCCCATGCAGCATATGTAAAGCGGCCACCTTCTCCCTACGTACCTTGCTGTAACTTATTTGGACACCGAGCTCACGTTCCATGTCACGTGCAATAGTGCTCGGATCATATGATCGGTTAGGATTATCCAATTTTTCCAAAATGTGCTCGGCAATTACAGAACTCGTCACATGTCGATGCGCATTACTGCGAAAATCAATGGAACATGTGTGCACATTATTGAATTTACAGATTACAAAGATTGCAGACTGCTTCACAGTAGAAGCACGTAACATCCACTTGCAACTGCTATCGGCGCATACAACGGTTAACATCTTCATGCTTGACTGGCTCACCTGAAATTGGAACTTGTTTTTCAAAGCAAGTGCACGAATTTTCGAGTACAACTCTTTCTTGCTGAAAAATATTTCATTTTCCGCAAGATCGGATATAGTCACAGTTCTCATAAATTCATATCCATCCGAATCGTTGGAATGTGACAAAGAGTGCTCGTCGTCGACGTCAACAGAATTAGCAGCCTCTAAACTAGGTGATGGGTTATCCAAGTTCTCATCTAATGGTGCAGTCCCATTATCTACTCATGTGTTTCAAGTGCATTATTGTTTGAGACACTATGCATTCGATTCACCAAATCATGTTCCACGTTTTACAGATCATCTACCATCGCAAACGAAGGATCTTGAAAATTTGCATCCCTTCCCATGTCAACACTTGGGAGATCGGATTCCAAAACAGTAACGCAGATAGCAGTTTCCTTATGCACTGATATGTACCAATTTAAGTCTTCATTGTCGCATATTTCAGCCGGAGGTATATTCAAGTTAGGGACTTTGAATTTCAATTCAATTTGAGCGCGGGAATCAAGAATACCAAGTTTCTCCTTCAACCTTAACATAAGTTCGGCCACGGTAATACTTGTTTGCACCAGAATGAAAGTAGTTTTGTCCCCTCTCCACTTCCATTCGTCATCCGCATGAACAAAATTTTCCCCATGCGA